GCCGCCACAGAGCCGGACTCGATCGAGACCAGAGACCAATTCATCGTTCGCCTTCGCGCGGCGGTGGCGTGGGTCAACGTGCGCCGCAGGGCGTACTTGGTCAAGATCTGCACAGATCAGAAGGAGCGGGCCCGCGACGTCATCCAATTAAACGGGAGCAGGACGAGGCATTGACCTGGATCCTCCCGCACGCTCCTCGATGCATGCTGACCCTGGTGCGGCAAAGGCCTGCACGGTGCGTCATCTTTCCCAAACAATGCTTGCGGTGGGGTTGTCTTCCTGGGGCAATCGTTAAATGCGTGAGTACGTGCCCCTTGAATGTGCATGCCGGGCAATTCGTTTTTCGGTGCCCCCCTTTTGCTGACTCGCTGGCGCGGATCGTCCCGCCTCGCCGCCGACGAAAAATGCCCCGTGAATGCACGTCGCCCCTTCGCCGCCTCGTGCGGCGGCAACGCGCAAATAGCGCCACGTTGGTTGGGCCGTGAAAGTTCCGCCGCGTAGATTGGACCAAACGCCTTGCAACACACATCGTTTGCGCGATGCACATTGCACCGCGCAGTTGGTGCCAATATAATGCAAGAACCTACTGTTTGGGGTCAACACTTACTTTTAAAGCGGCCAAGCCTCGTCAAAAATAAACAGAAACGAAGTTGGAAATCACGACGGTCGATCTTCTCGGGCACTTGTTAGAAACTGCGTTCTTCAATGCTGCGGCGGGGTTGTCGGATTTTTGAAGCCCTTGCGCCCGCGTCAGATATCTAGCGTCAGCATTGGAGTAGCGCTGCCCATACAATCACCGAAAACAGAATCCCTCAGTTTATTTTTGACGAGGGTTGTACTACTACTACTACTACTACTACTATTACTACTACTACTACTACTACTACTACTACTACTACTACTACTACTACTACTACTACTGGTATTACTACTGCGGCTACTGTTACTACTCATACGATTACTACTACGAGTACGTCTACCACTACTGTGATATCAAAGAAAAACCAAATCATGTCTATGTGTGGATATAGGGCTATGGGGCTACAGGGCGATAGGGCTATAGGGCTATAATGTTATAGTGTTATAGGGCTAGAGGCGAAGAGCTAGAGGGCTATAGGGCAATAGGGCTGTAGGGCTATAGGGCTATAGGGTTACAAGGGTATGCAGCTATGGAGCTATCAGGGCTATAGGGTTATAAAGCTATTGGGGCTATAGGGCTATAGGGCTAGAGGGCGATAGGGCTACACGGCTATAAGGCTATAAGGCTCTAGAGTTATAAGGCTACAGGGCTACCGGGCGGGCACCCGGGCACCCCCGGGCACGCCCGGGCACCCGGGCACCAGGGCACCAGGACACCCCTGGGCACCAGGGCACCCGGGCGTGCGGCGAAAATCGGCGGCAAACCTAACCTAACAACATGAATCCGCTATAGGACCCCTATGATACCAGAGAAAAAAAAACAATCATATTTTTTAAGGATATAAGGCTATGGGGCTAAAGGGCTCTAGGGCTATAGGGCTACAAGGCTATGGGGCTATAGGGCTAGAGGGCTAGAGATCTAGAGAGCTAGAGGGCTATAGGGCTATAGGGTTATAGGGCTATAGGGCTATAGGGCTATAGGGTCATAAGTGTATAAAGCTATGGAGCAATTAGGGCTATAGGGTTATAAAGCTATTGGGGCTATAGGGCTATAGGGCTAGAGGGCTATAGGGCTATAAGGCTATAAGGCTCTAGGGTTATAAGGCTATAGGGCTACCGGGCGGGCACCCGGGCACGCCCGGGCACCCGGGCACCAGGGCACCCGGGCACCCCCGGGCACCCAGGCACCCGGGCATGCGGCGAAAATCAGCGGCAAACCTAACCTAACCATATGAATCCGCTAGGACCCCTACAGAGGCAAGCTCTGATTGGGGAATATAAAGGCAAGCTCTGATTGGGGAAATTAGCCTAAAGCTAAGATGTCCATCCCTGTCGGTGGACAGGTATAGGCATCCCCCTCCCAGCAATGGGATGTGAAAACTTGAGCCCTAGGTCTAGTGTTACAAAGGTTGTTTGGGCCCGCTGGCCTCGTCCTTGTCCTCAGGCCCGCCTTGTGGCACAGTGAGCGGCTATGCGAAGCATGAGTATGTTAGACCCTGCTCAGAGGGAGGAAATTTGTTATCTTCCCTCTTTGCTGGGGAATCTCCTAGGTCTTTCCGACAATCCAGCTTGAACCAATAGGGGCCTTCAGGTTATATCCGCCCTGACTGCACCATCCCATCGGGCGCTGCGTTCATGCTGGGCTGTCGCACTCGAGGGAGGGCAAGCTTTGTTGGACAAAGCCGGCGTTGTCTTGTGGGACGCCCTCCAGACAGATGTTCGCTTTGTCCCAAAGTGGTCCTGACCTGGAGTGGTACAAGGGTGGTAATACCAGGTCACTGGTTCCACCCATGGGATTAAGGCGCCCCGAAGCCATATCACTTCAAGTCCTCCTCCTCGGGAGCGGGCCTCGACGCAGATG